ATTTATCTCCAATAATCGTGCTAAGCAAATTTCATACAATGCGACCAAACAAGTGTACTAGAAATTATTTTATCACCATAGAGAAAAAATTGGCGGTATATATCTATATACAATGCAATGGATTACTTTTCTGAACTAAGTTGAAGTGAAGTTCTGAGATCGTTAAGTGTTACACTTCGCTTATTGAGAACCCATTTCCGGTCATAATCAGATGGGACCTAGGGTGATGTTTATTGCAATTACTTCTGGAATAACACCGAGATGATTTTCCTACGATCTACGTCTTCACAGATGAACGTGAAGATCGGGTTATAATGCCTCTGTACGTGCGTGAATGTGTTTTAAGATAAGCAAAGCACTACGGAGATAGCATCGATAACCGTATGAAGTATTCGATTAATATCACTATTACGATTTAAATCGAACCGCGGCATTAAACAGAAAACTCAGATTGACAGATACACATCTGCTCGGTTGAGCGTGCGGTCTTTTATTTGTTTAAGGTGGATAGGATCGTGGAAATAATCCTACCGATATATTTTATATGCAAATAAATAGGGACAAGCTCATCTACAACACTTAATATAGATAGACAGAATCTATATGTTCGTGACGCTAGTATGATAGATGGAAACAGCCTGCAGGTATGGAGTGTCCATCAGACAAGCGCCTATCCCTGTCGTTCCTGATAACGCGCGGGTTCAAACTCAGAGCGTTCTTGTTTCGCCGTATCGAAAATGATTGGAGGACGACCTACCAGTGTCGCCCGGCCGGCCTATCGCAGGAAGCGCTGATATAGCTGTTGTTATTCGGGACAATCAATATATATCAGTCATACGTGTCAGACATTAATGTTTAACCTAAAGATTGTGCAACCTGTTTCACCTGCGTGTAAAGCTGCTGCTGCTGCTTCTTCTCTTCACCACTTACTTTACGCCAGCTGTAAGATAGATGATGGAAATGAAGATCTTTACAAATCTTCGCAGGTGTATCACCTGCAGAATCGCTGTGTGTTGCCGTTCACCCGTCGAGAGACGGTGAACTTGCTTAAGGTTACAGTCTACAATACAAATGACGCCGATAAGGTCGTTGTTTGATCGTGTGCTGGCGCGAAAGGCAAGGCCGTTCATCACAATTTATTGTGACAAGGCTCTGGCTATTTTTCAGGATGACGTGGACGCTTGCCTAAGTCGCGGCGGCGGCGGCGGATGGCCCCACTCTACCAGAAAATTCGAAAACTATCAAAAACAACATCTAGCCTAAATTAAGTAAAACATAAATCTATCTTTCATCAAACGTTATCTAAGAACGCTGAAATAATCGAACAGACAAATGAAAGACAATTTTATAAGTCTGTTTGTATGTACGCGCTGCCGATTACTTGTGATGGGTCGATGTAGCATTGCGTAAATATAGGAAGGCTGATCGGTTGAATAGGTTTTCGGTGAAAGGGCAATTCTGCGCACCGCGATTACATATGTCGCAGTTGTTGAATAATAAGCGTGGATTCTTACATGAAATGAAATACGTGAAAGGTAACGGTGTTTGTTGACAGCGCCAGTGTTTGTTGCCCACATATGATCAATCGATAGAGCAATCGTTTACTTTCTTCTAATTAGAACCTTACATCGATCGTTTGGCGGAAGAGTCACGACGAAATTTACTCTATTGGGTCGAATACTTCAAAATGAAAATTTGCCCTCTCGTGTCAATCATCCGTTTTTCTTCGAAGACATAAAGCATCGAAAGAGATTTAGGAAGCGATTCTCTAAATTGAATGTACATACCACCGGATGCATTTGTTTATGCTTTGCTGAAGAAAGTATTAGATAGAAAATACCAGGTATAATGGAATAGGCTGTTGAAGCGCCGGCAGTCATTCGTGTTTTTATATTTAATGAAATGCTTACTGTGACTTTCGTGATTTTTTTTTAATGTGTTGCGTTTGCGTGTGGACATCTGGCTGATTCGTGGGTTCAGCCCAATGGGTTAAATATAGTTCACTCAGACAACTTTGCTAGGTATTTTTATTGATATAGCCTTTATTTTACCCTGAAGTAACGTATCATAGTCACTAGTACAAAAGAGCTACTTGGGCTTTCACTTTTGCCCCTGACTCTGTAACGAAGACTGAGACGCGCTAGTTGTTCTTGTAAGAACTTTTACAAACATGGCGCTTACCAATTTTAAATATTGCCATGGCGGTACATCTGGCGCCACCTTAGTTTCTGTTTGGAACGCGCAAAAAAAAAAAATCATTGGGTTTTGTGGTGAAACAAGATATTGTTGTATGTTAGTCAAAGATCACATAAACACTGTAGTATGCAACACCGATATACAATACCTTACTAATAAAACGATGGCATATTCTCATAGTCCTGTAAATACAGAAAAGCTAGAGACTTTTTTGACTACTAGGCCAGAGAACAGGATGCTAACTATTTGTCTGCACCAATCATTCTTGAAAATGAGCGCTTCCTTTAAGAAAAAAACATGTTTATTTGTCTTTGACCGGATAGTTGTTTTTTTTTTTAGTATACCATCTAATAATAAGGTTCGTACGTTGCGAAATATAAAGGAAGAAATAAAAATTTGTCTATTGAACAGAAACGAATGCGACCTGCGATACGAGCTTATGAATATCTCTACTTGCTGCCGGACGGAATCTGCTCGACGCTCGATACTCACTATAGAGGCGAGCGCAAATTAGACGCCCGTTGCCATCGAAGTTTTTTATGACCCTACGGTGCAAAACAGACAGTCGTCGAGATCATGCAGACGCGATCGGTAAACAGGGCTAAAAGCAGTAATCAAACGTATCTGCGAGCCAAAATAACTGGTATAGCTAAAACTGGGTAGATCGTGTACGTCGATTTGCAAACGCACTTTTCTTCTCTTAAAAATACGACAATTTCTCTATGCTCGTAACGTACGCTTGAGAATCTGGTACATATTTGTATGAGCAGGATTTTGTATGGAAAACGGTATCTGGCGTACTACGCGTACAGGTTGCATTGACATGTGTATTGAACAAAGCTAACTGCTAGACTACTCATCGTTAAAACTCGCACAATTTCGAAAAAATCGAGTTTAACCTAGCGATCGAATCGACTTGCAGATACACTGACAATTTCCAAAGGCTTTTTTCTTCAGCAGCATATTTCCCTATCTACACAGTTAGTCCACACACTACCTTTGTCCTATCCTTAGCCTATTAATCGTATCGTTTCGAGAAGGTCATGGAAAGTGAAAACCAAATTTTCATTGCAAGTAGTATCGAGAAACGACTGATAGAAAATGTTTTTTAGCCTAGGTTAAAGGCCGACCGCTTATAATCGGGTCAGTTACTACTAGATAACAGAACTAAATAAATACGAAGAGATGTTCGTTCTGGTGTAGTCGACGAACATATGCGTCTTAAAAAGGCGTATACGTGTTTGGCCCCAGACCCTTTGGCATACTTGGTTGCAAGCTTGGACATTTGCTACACCGAACTAGATAACACAAAAAAGGGAGACACTAGTAAATATCATTGTTCAGTCATCGTGCGACGCAAATACTCCATCAAGCATTTAACACTTTAGTCTGCCAACCATTAGTTGTTTTATGCCACGTTATACCAACCAATACCATGCCGACCAATCAATACGTTTTCGTTAACCTCTTGAAATCATAGTGAAAAAAATATACATTATCAAATATGTAGACATACAAATATGAGCAACTGACTCCTGTGGCACTTTGGTTGTTACGACGTCAGCGGTAAACGCGCTCGTCACGATGGCGATCCGTCTTCACACTCCTCGGATCGGCCAAGTAAGGGCTAAGCATCCACTGCCGACGTGGCGATGACCCGCTTCATCGATTGACTTATAATCCAAAGCATAGTTCTATCTGTGTCTTTTAGTATAGGAAACAAGTAATGTTCAGTATTTTTGTACATCGTCGGATGGGAACCGCACGAACATGGTCGTTATTTGCGGTTAACGGATCGACAAGTGGAGAGCCAGAAAGCGAGTTACAGAGTGTTTGAGCTTAGGAGACCACAGAGCGGCTTAGATATGTCTTAATAGATTCAATTGCTGACGTAGCTCAAAACCGCTACTGAGTAGAAAGTTTTATATATATATATATATATATATATATATATATATATATATATATATACTTAGTTTTTTATATTTCTACAATGAACGAAACGTGCCATCGCGCTGATATAATTTTTGCGTGTCACAAAATGGCAGAGAAATCCTCAACTTTGAAATCGACACTAAGTAAGTACGAACAGATATGGATTTCGTGCACATGCTTTCTTATTGGTATTAAAGCATTCAACCATACAAACTTTTACCTTGCCTCTTGCCGATTAAGTTCTCGATACTGTTACGTGCATTGTAATTTTCAAGTGGAGTCCTAATATACAATATTCTAGCAATACGCCCAAGACAAATGTTGCCTCGGATTTCGGCATCGATTTGAAAACATCTACCAGTTCTGCTCATAAACATACAATACAAGAGAAACAATAAGGCCTTCAAAGGGAAAAGAACAAACGGCAGGTAGGTTCTATTAAACACTTTATCAAAAGTCAACGAAGTGGGATAATGTAACTGCTTCAAGTGAATGAGTGGAAGAAACTCTTCATTAAATGTCCTATAAAGTAAAAAAATAAACCTGTTATGTGACCTTCTAACTGCGTATGAAAAATAGTTAATTTTCCTTTTACTTATATTTTCGATATCTAAATAATTGGATAATTAAGTTCGAGCGTTGGCCATAGTATTGTCACGCATGAATTGTCTGCCCAAACAGAGGAACCTTGAGCATGGAGACAATGGCAGACCCGTAAAAACGTGATGGTTGGTTAGATGGAAACCGTCCACAACGAATACAAATGGATTGAAAGTTCGCTTGCACGACCTCTGATGAGAGGCTCACTGTCTGTGACGAGCTGAGAGCCGACTTAACTATATTAGGTTAGGGAGATGTGTTTGCATTACCTTCAAGGGTAGACGTCCGGGGAAAAGGTACTCCTTAGTTGAATGAAGGCTAACATTCAGCACATACGATATTAGCCGTGTACCGCCCTATTAACACTGTTCAGTGCTTGTATTATTCAGCCTTAGTTCTAATCACGTCTAAGGAAGTTGTAAGTTACTCCATTTAACACTATCTCGTAGTCTTGTTGGTGCGCTTATAGGTGTGTCTGTGTCCATGCCGTTCGGTTAATTATTTGCAGGCTAGTTGTCAGCACGAACATACTCTTGTTGATAATACCGTCATTTTCGTTACTATTGCAAAAATAGACTCCTGGAAATAGAATTTGTATGTACTGAACTAGCGTTCTGGAGCGAGGGAACGCTAATATCGCGTTGGGGCAAGCGTAAGCTGGATGAGGGGGTTACGATATAACAAGATCTATCTGACAAACAATCGTACCAGGCCCGCCAATAGAGTCACAGCATCAGCATTGCGATCATCGACAACAACGAGAACAACAGGACTAACGGCAACAACTGCAGCCGACTCGATGATGTTAACCTTCATCGTAGTCAGTCGTCTGCTTCTAACATCTGCTACCCTTTGTTCGCATCCCGATTGTCGCTGCACTGCCATTATCACGACCCCGTCATTGACTGTCGGGTATACAAATACGCACGCACAAGAAACCGCCACAGAACTGATTTTACGTCTTCTAGCGCCGCTGCGGCGGCTAGCGTTACTGCTACTCCCTGTAATCCTCTTCTTGGTAATCATTATTATATGTTCAAATCTTCCTTTGTCCGTTCAAGTCCGTTTTACGTCCGTTCAAGCTCTGTCTGTGATGAGCTAAGAGCTGCGCGGGGCTGATGTCAGTGTCGCGACTATTGGAGCTGGTTTTTAACTTCTGGCGTAACGCATTTGCCGACCGAGTTGAGTTTTTATTGAGTCTGCATAGGGCGTTGCGTGTAAACAGGCCCGCGTACGAAATGAATACTAAAATAATCTTCACGCTACCCAATAGGCCGAGTCACAAGCAGCGGCAGAAGCGTCGAGCATTGCAACTACGTTACGGATGTTCGGTGCGGAGAGATAGCGGCGATAGCAAAAGATGAACGCCTCTTAAGTAAACCGATGATACGAGGCCCTACGAGCGTTAAGAAGATGCTTATTGTAACGCCTTTACAAGGACGCAGCGTACAGTCCCTCCGTAATGTCTAGCTTTCATTAATTCCCTCCCGATAATTATACGTATTTAAAGCAATATCTTCTAGAGACGTCGGTCTGCCGACAAAAGCAGCAGCAACAAGGGCGTTATAAAGGTTCTGAAGATATGGGCGAAGCGGGTACTTATATATTAAGAAACATATTTTGCTCTGACACAGGCAGGCGTCATAAACAGAACAAACAGATAACTAATAAACTAGCAGTGTTCTAACATAGAGTAATCGCCCTTGCTAAAAGGAAAAAAAAAACTAATTCACTACAACAATAATGTAATCGTTACATGTTTATATAAGTTAATTTTTACAAATAACCGTTACATTAAGTTATAGGTTAATTTTTTCTTCCCATTTAAAGTTAGTTTATTTCCTTTTCTGTAACGAAGCCAAGTTGAAAGCTAGATTTCAAAAAGCTAGTTCGGCTCATTGGCTCCTTCGCCACGTAAATCGTTCTGGCGTTGTATTGCTATTGAAGAACCAAACACTGACTGCTTTCCATGCATCGGGAACACGGTTGGTGGTTCCCGAGTAAATCTAATCAGACGATTAAACTGTCGAGGCGTAGGTGTGGCTAAGTATTACCGCCTCTAGATTACGAGATGCCAACTGTGCAAGCGGAAGAATATTATCATTCTGATTGCTGGAAAATGTCTGGACCTCGTTGAACTGTGGGCTATATTTTAAGCATGCGTTAATGCAAACCTAGTCTGTCTACGTGTTTTTCATTAGGCACGCATTGATTCAAGTCCAGTCTAAGCTAGGTTGGCAGACTTGTTTCGAAGGCATCTGCGGAGACCTCGAATTGGTTGAAAATGTTTGCCTTATCGGCAATCATTTGCGGAAGCAGACATCTACTGGAAAATAAAGGTAGCCAAACTGGCAATCAGGTGTACAGATTAAGCTTTAAAGCAAAAGATTTTGGGTGTTTAAGCACTCCCATTTGAGGATCTACAATAGTGATATAGTGAAATCTAGTTTACACACAACCATAATAATAATAATAAACTTATGGGGGTCAATTTTAATTCATTTAGTTCATAAGTTTCGCACTCAATAAGAGTAGCTGCACGTAGTACTCAAGCCTGCAGAAACTTGTCCATCTATAGTTAGTGGAATAACTTATTGTAGACATTATATGTTATTAACTGATAATAAATGATCATATACATTCGCCATAACTTTATCGTTCGCCACGAATATTCCACTTCTTCAAAGCGAAATAAGTTGCAGTTTATGAGATACAGGTCACCAACAGGCCGCGTCCAATGTTAGAGACGATTCTGAGCTTTTGCAAATCAGAATATGAATTAATTAGTGGTAGTACTACTATTTTTCTTACTGTATATTTTGACTATCGGCCAGTTGTGCATTATGAATTTATCCCAACTAGCCCTAGTGTCACTAAGGGATGTTACCAAAAGTTTTAAGATATCGTTTAATCTTATTTGCTTCTTCAACCGGACAGATTCTTAGAAAAATTAGATGTTTGTGTTCTTTCAACCCCCATGTGTATTTGATCTAATTTCCTGCAACCCCTTCATATCGTCAACATTCTGAAAGATAAAATCTGAAAGATAAAATCGCCAAGACAGCAAAAAAACATAAAAACTAAAAATCGGAAATTCATTTTACAATTCTACAAAGCATTCCTTCTTCGTCATTGACGTTCTAAAATTGAAATGTACTAAAGTGTCGTGCATGATGCACGATTCTCCTGTTTATTTGCCCTACACGTTTTGTTTTACCCTACAAATGTATGTTGCCTTAAACCTAAATACACGAAAAAAACATTTAATTAGTCAATATTATGACTCGCATCAAGGTTGGCGTAAATACAGGCGGGTGTGTCTATCGACAAATGCCCAATTCGCTTGTTGAAAAAATTTGCACACCTACCTCGGCGTGCAACGAGAAATTTATTCGAACTCCAAAACTGTGTAGTCCTCGCAAAGTCAGACAACGATTCGTATATAGGATTTTGTTAAGCTTTTATGCATCATTTTCCGTAATTAATAGAAGTTTGTTTGTTTGTTTGTTGACCTAACTGCAACATGTTCGCCGTATGTAAGTACTTCTGCTAAAGTTGTAGGGGAACCCAGAGTAGCTAAGAAGTAGTTCCCTTCTCATCAACTTGCTTGACGTATTTGTCGTCGCCATCACTTAACACGCTACGTTAGTTAAAAGCTGCTTTGCAAATACTATCTCTGTCATAGGCAAGTAAATAAAGCCTTCATGAATTCATTTCGGTGATCATCTGGCAAGGAGAAAAAGGTTATCGAAACTTAGAAGCCCACTATCACTGCTCGATGGGTAAATCTATGAAAAACCTGCACATTCTTCCACTATTCGTATGCAAAGGATGGCATTTGCTTGAAGATTGAGTCGTCGTGCTATGATCGCGCGCCGGCGGATAGCGGGGGTGTAGCGGACTCTTTGTGATGACGGAATGGATGATAGAATGGAAGCAGCTGTCGACGGACAAACACAATTCATTGCCGAATAGAACAGATGGAATATTACCGTTCATGGGCAGGTCGCCAAAGTATAAGATTATACGTACTGACTTGTAATGTAAGTGAGTACCACGTGCATCTACGTACATCGCTAGAGCATCTCAATGACAGCAGTGTTCGTCGTGAGGCACGACGACGGAGTAACGGAATAAATTGCTCCGGTATATAAGACGTTAGTGTAAAAGAAGAGCGATGACGACTAAATGCGTTTAGCATATTACTGAACAATTTACGCGTGAAGCGAGCGTACTATTGATGAACAATAAGAGATAAATAATATCTTTCTTTCAATAGAAACTTCGAGTCGTTCTCTTCGAATCAGCTAAGAGGTTTTCACCCATTATGCAATATTTTTCTATCTAATTACAATGAGTATCCTCAATATGTGTCAAACAAAAACAAATAATTAGCTTCATACATCGAGGTTAGTTCATATGATTAGAGAAAAGGCCAACGGAAACAAATCAGTCGAATACGGACTGGGGGCAGGGACGTTTCACGAAAAAAATTGTGCATTGGCCCCGGCAAAATAAAGTGCCCTCGCGAAGAGTGTTGTCAGGATCTCGAAATTGAACAAATAAGGGGTTCTCTTAGTTCGTTTTAGCAGGCTGAAATGCATGCGGAAATGTCTTCTTCTATTAATATCATTCACAACTAAATTAACGAGTCGAAAAGTGGTCGCTTAAGTGCCGAAGGCGAACAAAGGTTAGGTACTCTCTTTCAGCAAAGAATTATTAGTCTAGGATAAAGGAAGATCAACTGGCTGTACATTTCAGGCAACACCTTTGAAGGTGGCTGAAGACGCTTATGTCTGGTCCAATGGGATCAGTTCTCTCAGGATACACATGGCAATATTATATATACTAGTCATCTTTATAAATATTTGTTACTTATTGAATATGCCACAATAATAATAATAACTTACTTACTTAGAAGTGCCGCCTTTCAATGACACCCTTTTGCAGTTAACGATCGGCATAGGGGAAATCTAAAGTATTGTACGAGTAGAAAATACGACATTAGTTACTTTTAATTTTATATATGTATATAATTTTAAGAAAAGATTAGGTGAGGTCAGCTAGAGTTACCCACGTGCTCTTAATAAAAAGGTAAGCTATTTATTAAAAGAATATATATAAGAAATCGTTAATCAAAATGCAACTATAAATATGTATGTTTACATACAGCTAGTAATAATAGAGACATTTCACTTAATGAATCTGTACTGTAAACAGCTTGCTTCAGCCGTTCAAAATATATAAGTAATAAAGAATATGATGTAAATAAAGATGGCTCCCGCGCCTTATACCCTGCACCTCGCATACAATGTCCGCAAAGAAAAACTTTACCCCCCCCCCCCCCCAGTATTAAGTGTCCTGTGGTCAATATCTCTAACGAGCAGTCTTCTAGCTTACTAGTGACTTATTAGATGCCAATATAAGAGGTGTTATCGCGATATGGCCCACACTTTGAGTAGTTTGTTTACTGATAGACTCAACTACGTTTGACGAATTAAAGCATTCTCCACA